GTTTTCGCTAAATACATTTAAAGTTATTAATGTGCCTGTTTATTAAGTGTTTATAATTAGATATCAAACTATATTTACAATTGGCTTATGTTAAATAATTATTTAATTCTGACAATTATCTTATTATTATTATTCAATACAAATTTAAACAAAAAACTCTTATGTTTGATATCGATACATATTGTAAATAAAAAGTCAGCGTTTTCAGTGATATTATTATTTTTATAACTTATTTTGGTCACTGTTCATGATATAACTATAAGTTAAATTTTATTATTTTTTAGGTAGCCCTAAAAGCTCTCCATTCATTATTCAACCATAGATCTAAAATGGGATTAATGGGTAACCATTTGGACGTGGCCTCTGGGCAATGGATTGCTCACGATTCAGGCATTGGTGGTGGAATTGATTCTTATTTTGAGTATTTAGTTAAAGGTTCTTTGTTATTTAACTTACCTCACCTAAGAAAAATGTTTGATGAGTTAAAAAAACCTATTGATAAATACTCAGCAACTTCTTCAGGGTGGTATTTTTGGGTAAACATGCAAAAGGGTCAAGTAACAATGCCCGTATATCAATCATTGGAATCATATTGGCCAGGACTTTTAAGTTTAATTGGTAATCATACTTTAAAATTGGTTAGAATAGTATTTTGATATTAAAAACATAATTGATATAATCCTCAAAGTTTTACTCTGATAGTAGTTTATTAATTAAGTAGATATCAAGTAGACTAAATCATTTTTTTTTATTCGCTATACAATTGATTTTAGGAGAAATAGATTCTGCTATGAAATCTATGTCAAATTACCATGATGTACTTAAATTGTATGGATTTACTCCCGAAGTATATAATGTTCTAAACCATGAAGCTGCTAGGGATTCATTTCCATTACGTCCTGAACTGGTTGAGTCTACCATGTATTTATACAAGGCAACTAATGGAGATCCTTATTTATTAGACATTGGAAGTGATATTCTACGGTCTATTCAACACAGTAGCCGTACACGTTGTGGATATGCTACGGTAATATTTTTATATAAAAGAGTATAGATTACGTACTTATGCGTTTTTAAGAATTATTTTTGGACTAAATAAAGCGTTTAATTTTAAATCAATAGCTTAAAAGTGATTATGAAAAATTTATTATTGATTTTCTTTAAATTTCGATGGAAAGAAATAACCATATTAATTTAAAACAATATGTAGCATATGTCAATACATTTATTTAACTTAATTTTTTTGGACCTATTTTGACATGTAAAGTTAATAATTTTTTATTTCAGAATTATATGTAAATACGTAAGTACAAATATTTTCCATATCAAAGTTATTATTCTACAGATTCTTTATATTTAACTAAAATCTATTTTGTAAAATTCTTATCGAAAAATATTCCCATCCGATCACTTTCAAGAAATAAACGTCGTTTTAAATTAGAGATTTCGAATAATCATAGGTCGTTATAGGATTTAAAACTTAACCTAAATACGGGAAAATTTTTTCTTGGATTTTCAATTTCAATCCAAGAAACTGTAATGAATGCAAAAAATACAAATATCTAAAATTCTTAAATCGTAAATCAATGTCTATTTTTCTACGATTTTTTGTTTAGATTAAAAGTTGTAAAAAACACACACTTCAAAATAGGATGGAGTCATTTTTCCTCGCAGAAACTACGAAGTATCTATACCTGCTATTTGATCCCGACAACTTTATACACAATGATGGACGACATGGTAAAGTTTGGAATACAGCTGGTGGTCGTGAATGCATAATTGACTCTGGTGGATACGTCTTCAATACTGGTAAATATTTACCTTGTATCCAGTTAATGTCCACACTTCGATTTTAATAATATTTAAAATAATCACTATTAGTTAATAAATAATGTAGACTGATATCATTGTAGTTAATCCATTCGAAGATATAACATATTTCTAATATTAAATTCACTTTATTATATGCTTAGAAGCCCATCCGATCGATCCTGGAATGTTGTTTTGTTGTTACACAGCTGACAACAATGATTGGTCTCAAGATCAAAATTCTAATTTTCAACGTACCGTAAAGTCATCAATAGAAGCTGACCACATTAAAAAATCATATAAACCAGGTGAGTTAATAATGTAACATAAAAACTATTACTTATTATATATAGCGGTGCTTATCATTATTATTATTATTATTATTATTATTTTTTTTTTTTTGTAGCATTGTATATTTATATTTATTCAAATCTAAAAATATGTTTTTTTTATGATTCTCTAGTTAATTATATTTATTTACATATCGACACATTCGGCGATGGAATGGATGCGGGAAAATTGAAATTTGTGATCAAAACAGTTTGAACTCGTATTATTTACTTCCAAAAATAAACTTGAAACTGTTAAAAATAATAATAATTTTCATTAAAATTATATAAAATTAATTATTTTATATTTGGATTAGTTTTTTTAAGTTTTGCTTATAAAAATAAAATCTTTTGAAAAATGTATTAACACTTTATAAAATTGAATATTAAAAATTTAAAAAAAAAAGAAAAACTTTTGAAATTAACATTATGAACCCATTATCAAGTACAAGTTAAGACCACTTTTAGACAGATAATTATATTAGTTTCATATTCATATTTTATATAAATCGTGTTTGTTGATGACTAAGTCTCTACGTTTATACTGAGAACAACTATAGTTTGTAGTGGGTAATACCTATGTGATTACAAGTATGAAGATTAGTATTAGGGGTGCGCTTGTGAAATAGTGTTCGGTGTTCAATATCGACGCGAAGAAAATATGAGTCTTTGAATTTGTTTAAAATTTTGGGGTTGACCAAGTGCACTATAAATTTCGGGTCCATTGATTTTATTCTTGTGTAATCTCCCTCAATTTCAATTTAATTTGATCCTAGTGTTTATTATGTGCATTTATTTATTTATTTTTTTCATCCCAAGTAGAAAGTACTAAATCAACGTCGGGAGCGAGTGATGGCGGCTTGGTCAGCGGTCATCGGTTCACCATGGACGACAGCAGTGTGTATTGGACGCAACAGGCTCATGATGACCAACGACCGCAGTTCAAAAACGACCACCATCGACCAGCAACCGCTTCATCAGCGACCGACGAGTCGATGCCGGTGGTACAGTCGTTGCGTCCGCCGCCGGTGCAGTCTCCGTCGTCACAGCAGTCAATCTACCAAACGGATGACCAGTTGGATAGGCGGCGACAGCAGCAGCTCGACGAGGATCAAGACGGTGGCAAATCGTTCCTTTCGTTCCGGAAAACCGAGGACGCGACCGTGTCGACCGTTGCAGTGGACGACGACCTGAACTGTTTCGAGATTTCCATAGACTCCATGGACGAGAAAGGTGTTAGTCAGTCGAAAAATTCGATGAAATGTGCGAACAAGGGAAACCCGCGACTCAGCGACGAAGAGGAACTCCGGCGAAGGGCTGAGGAGATACCCGAGGATAACAAGTACTATTTTCACTACCACAATGACTTCGACCACGTTGAAAATGAAGCCAATGATAACGAACCGGATTGGAAGGTCAAGCAACACTGGTGGACGGACGACAAACAGCACCAGCAGGAAGGTAGCAGCGAGGACTATCACGTACTTACGTGCAACGCACCGAATAACCTCTACACGTATTTCCGTTGGTGACGGTTAATTTGTGATTGTTTAAATGTTTTATATAAGAGTTTTTTGTTGGACTTTTGATAAAATATATATATTATTTATTGTTACGTCAAAATGTGCCTATGCATTATACTATTTTCCGATGACGGAAGTTATAAAAATGGATTCATGCTGTTGTGCGCGCTTTTGATTACCGCACAACTTTATTGTTATTTTGTTTTCTAGTAGAATGGTATGGGTTCGTAAGAACAAATATCTGTTATTCTTAATAAAAGTTAGATTTATTTTATTTGAAAAAAGAGGTTCTGCTTATAGACGTACACTACTCACTACACACTACATACTACTCTGCCGTCCCGACGAGGGCCGAGCCAGCCACCAAGGGTTGAATCAGCACATTCCCTAGCTCGGTCCCCACAAGGCGATCAATTCGTGGAAGTGTCATATCTACTATTACAATTTACAACACATGTCTTATACACTATACTAAGACTACACTTAATATTACAATAACCCATAGGGGTTCCCAACAATGCACTACTGAGAAGAAAGGAGGTGTGGTTGATTATTCGAAAAGAAAATTAATGAGTTAAAGAAAAATATTAATAAACTCTATTATGTCAGTGATTTATATAGTTCAACTAATCTACAATTTGATTTCCAATGGTCTCGGTTCAATTATAATGGCCCAGTTCTTCGAGTCAATTGGTTTAGGGTCCCGTTGTGGTAGTATGAGATGTATGAATAAATAAATTATTATTATAAAATTAACCAATTCGATATTCAGCCATATACTTTTGTTAGAACTTCCGTGGGAAACATTATTCTCTAATTGACATAGTATTCTATATAAGTTTACATTATAGTGGGTTAATCTCATGATATTGCTGAGACTGGATACTGGGTGTAGGCCCACATTGAATGCGAAAATACTTAATTAATTTTAGTTAATATAGAAATTTATTGATTTATACTATGAATAAAAAAATTTGATTTATTTATTTCTTCTCAATTTTTATTTGATTGTTTTTTTCCACAACTTAATAAGATAATTAAATTAAATTTTAATTTTAAAATATGTTAAAAACGCTCGTTGTTATTATTGATTTTACCTAGAGAGTTACATTTTATTTATAATAATCGTTCCAATGAATGTTCATGTAATATTCAGTGCTCGAATTAGGAAAAATTAAGTAGAGAAGCTCAGTTCAACGATTTGAAAACTGCGTTCCATGTGCGCAATTATTTAACACAGACCCGTGGGGGGTTTTGTTCCTGACTCCCACCCCTCCGCCAACCTTACATGTATTTTGAATGCCACTTTTTAGCTAAACTAATATTTAAATTCCAAATATAATATATTTTGATAGCAATATCAACATTCTACATGTTACAATTGAAAATAAAAATAAAATAATAATTAACATAATTGTAGGCCATCAGGCAGTCTCATGAATCGAATGATACAATCATATATTTGTTTTTTGTTTTTATTTATTTTTACTCTTTAGTGCGGGCCACGGCCTTAGAAGATTAGTTGTGGTGCGGGCATTTATTTTTTTCCGAAATGACGATATCGTCGATCGCCAATATTAATAATAAACCGTACAATGTATAAAGTATAATACACCAAACTCACAGACATTGCTATTTATATTTCTTCAGAAATGATGACGTTGTCCCTTATCATAACCACCATATAATCTTTAATTATGAAAATAGTTTTAATATTATAAATCGTAAAATTCGTTTTCAAATTGACGTAAATTGAAATTCACATAAAAATTATTTTGGACATCAATTTGGACGAACATGGCGTCCCCCCGTTCCGGCGAAAAAATATAGTTGAGGTACGTAAAAAAAAAAAAAAAAATAGAGGAGCTCCGTCCCCTTACGCACCTCCCAATTCGAACACTGGTAATATTATAAACAAACAAAAGATACTTATCAATGTCATAAGTTATGTCGTCATTAAAACAGTAAATATTAATTATTATTTTAGTAGGTTATTTATATTTATAGACAGGTGCGTACTGACCCATCAGGATAACGAGAAAATCCCGACTAGCCCCCTTAAACATTATAAGACCTGGGATCCCAACCAAATAGTATCAGTTTCGGTTAAAATCAATAATTTTTAACAATTTGAATTGAAAAATTGAAAAGAGAAAATTACAGGATTTTTCAATGGGCAAAGAGGGTTTGAAAATAAATATTTACATTTGGCCTGTAAAAATAAAGTATTAATATGCTTTTATACTGCTGTTATAATAATACTTAACGGTTTACTTCAATGAATTTTTAGTTTTTAGTGCTTTTTTTGGATTTGTTGAGACTTTTTTGCATTTTACCTGTGTTTTAATCAAAATCAGGTATATTTTATGAAATTGTATTTTAGTAAACGTGTTTTTTGATTTTTATCAATCGAATTTTCAAGTAAATTATAAATGTATAGATTAAGTAAATATACCGATTACGCAGATGCATCGCCACACAATTACAGCGATAATATATAATAATAATTTCGTACGTTTTTAGTGCATATAATTCCGAGCCCTAGTTATAAATCAAAAAAATTAAAGATATCAAAGTATAAGCCAATAATAAATTATATAGGTACTAAAAAAATTACAATTTCTATAATGTTATAATGTTACGTCCGAATATGAAATCCCATTTTCCTCCCCCTAGTTCCGACTCTGCTCGTAACTTAAAATATTTAAAATAGTTTAATATTATTTTTTTTAGTATTCATTCTATTTTAATTCCTATATTCTTTAATGTATTGTACCTAACCTATAGTTTTAATATTAACTCTAAATTATTTAAAATTTAGTTTAATAGACTTAAAAAAAAAACATGTTTTACATGTTTTAAACAATGTTGATAATTTTTCAAATAAATCGTCTAAAACAGTTTTAAACATTTAGATTAAAACACTTTGTTTTTAACATAACAACTCTACAGACAAGCCACATAAGTTAACTAAACGTGTACAATTAATATTCTTCAAATATTCAGTTGTCATTATGAAATTTTGATTAGAATTTTGAATAAATTAAAAAGTAGTGATACTACTAACGTTACTTGCTAGAAAGTACGAAATGAATCAATCTAGTGTTTGAGAAATATAAAATAATTTAAAAAAACAATACGAGACAGTGTAATTGAATGTGATATTAATGTTATTGTGATTTTTAAAATCAAAAATATAGAACCTAACCTCTTTTTTTACATTGATTTATGGTCTCGTTATCCGTCCAACTTTGATGGAATATAACTTCTGCGAATAACGAGGGATTACTGTAAACTAATTTACAATATTAGCGTTATGCTGTAATGCAACGACTTTTTTAATCTAATCAAACTTGAATCTAAAAATTTTTGTGACAAAAATAATTTTACGGATCGATCATTTATATTATATTTACCTGTCAATTCAAATTATTTTTAAAAAGTTCGAAAATATACTGAAATACGTATTTATATTTTTTAATTCCAAAAATATGCGTTTAAAATATAAAACCGTAAAATATGAAAAAATAAACAAAATAAAAACAGTATTATTTGATTCAGTAAAACATGAATCAAATTTGTGTCTAGATCAGTAATAAATTGAATTAATATAGAAAAATATGCAATTTCATAAACATCGGAGGCCTATTAATTATTAATAAATATTAACGGATTGCTGTGAAATCTGTGATCACTGCACCAGACTGGACTAGACCACAGAGCTCCTCCAATTCAATTTACTAGATACCGTGCATAAATTAACTTGATTCCATTTATCCTTCATTCATTAATTCAACATTGTCGCAATCGCACGAAAACCTCACACCGCTGTCACTGTGCGAACATTGTTGCCTAACTGCAGCTTTCGGGCGCAAATATTTAATATAATTTTATTTAACCCGATGGTACATCGTTATTACGACTAATCCCTCGTCCAAAATTTAATTTACGTACACTAAATGAATAAAAGATAAACTCAGCCATACTCAAAACTATAATTAGATTAACTAAAATGTACACATTGTTATAGCTAAAGTTTCTTTTTACACAGTTAAAATCATAAATACTAAAAAAAAAAACTATTATTATAAGAAAATATGTATATAAAATGTATCGTTAAAATTTCTTAAGTTTTTACGCCAAAAAAACGCTAGAGAATGGTAACAGAATTATTCATTTTTTTAATAAAATGAAAACTATTTCAAGCATCACCAAAAAATGGCTTAAGAGTAAATTAAAAAATATGAAAAAACCATAACAAAATGTAAACCACCACTATTCGGTGATAGATTTTACATCCAATCAATAAAATGAGTAGAACAATGAAAGTCAAGAACTTTTCTCTTACACGCCATCATCAATATATGTTATCAAAGATTCTTTTTTTATCTGCAAATTTTTAAAACTCTGAAAAAAATAATCAAAACGTTTTAGATTGTAGGTACGATTCAAACGTAATATTTCAGTTGAGCAACAAACCTCTGTAGCCACAGCCTGTAACAAATCGGCTGTATCCGGTCCCGTCTCTTTGACCATCGAATACAAAAACCCGTCTTTGTTTTTCAACAAATTATGCGGATGGTCGAATTCAACCACTCTGCCTGTGTCCATAACAAGTAATCGGTCGGAGTCCATTACGGTGTTCAAACGGTGAGCAATCGTCAGAACGGTGCACTTTTTGAATATGCTTCTGATCGACTTTTGAATCAACGCGTCAGTTCTGCAAAAATAGACGACCGTTAAAATAATTATACTATTTACATTGTATATAGTATTCACTCGGTATCGACGTTTGCCGTTGCTTCGTCCAGTACAAGAATTTTGTTGTTCTGTATTATGGCTCTGGCTAAACATACCAATTGTCTCTGGCCGACACTGAAATTGGAACCGTTTTCGGACATTTTCGAGTTCAATCCGCCAGGTAAACTTTTGATAAAAACTTTCAGTTCAACCTGAAATAACAATTAAATTGTTTTTGGAATCAACATAACTATAAAACTGATCAACGTCACGTAAATCAAATCCAAGATTACAGATACTCACTTTATCTAAAGCATTCCACAGAACGTGATCCGTGTGTTCGTCGAACGGATCTAAATTTGTTCGCATTGTTCCTGAAAACAAAACTGGCTCTTGCGGTATGATTGACAATTTCGACCTCAGTTCATTTAGTCCTAAATAGTTAATGTTTATGCCATCAATGATGATATTTCCTTCATTAGAAGCCAATCTAAATATTGCTCTTGCAATCGATGATTTACCCGCACCGGTTCTTCCGACTATCCCAACCTAATTATAATACGAAATAAAATTGTCGTTAATTATTAGTTCATATTTGAATAATAAATCGACACTACTTTTTCCATTGGTCGAATTTGAAAACTAATATTTTTTAAAATATATTGTTCGTTCAAGCTATAACGCAAGTAAACATTTTGAAATACGATTTCTCCATTTTTAGGCCATTCATTTGGAGGTTTTTTACCTAAACCGATTATTAATAATAAATAATTATAGACAGGAAATTAATTATCTTGTTCGCTATTCACTCGTACTTGAATAATTTGATGTACACTGATGATCGATTTCTTGGGGTGAATCAATAATTTCTAATACTCTTTCAACTGCGGTTATTTGGTTTTCCAACATAGCAAATATTGTTAGTCCTAATTGAACAGCACCAAATAACCTTATAACTTGAGTAAGAACAAGGCCAAAAAGTCCTTTATATGTATCTGAAACAAATTTACATTTAATATGTTTGGCTTGCTGAAGAGTAATTCGATATTATTTATTAATAAAACTTACTGAGACTGTCACCAATAACAAGGAAGCTGAATAGTACCATACTAATAAAAAATAGACAGATTAAATCAACCCAAAAACCAAATCCATTATTTCCAGAAATAAACAAATACCAAGCAGAGGAATGTAAATCCTATATTTGATACAAAGTATTCATAAAATATTATATACTACTGGAGTATAATTATTTATGTATACCTGTTGTTTATCAAATTCATCATAGAGAATTTTCTCTGCTTTGCATGCTCTTATTGTTGTTAAACCTTGTAACGATTCATTCATATGTGAAAATATAGGACTTCGTGCTGTATTAGACCATATAAATTTATAATTTACTTTACATCTTTAAAATGTTAAAAACATATTATAAGAACAAAATTGTTATCCTTACTAACTCCTTCCAATCGTTTAATGCTCCGAGAAGTTTTGAAATAAAAAGAAACAAATTGATAAATTATTATTCCCACAATGATTAATGGTATTATTAGATAAACATTAAAAAGTATTACGACAATAACAATTTCAAAGAGGATCAGAATCACCTATTTTTACAATCAATTTGAAACATTGTAAAAAGGACACGTTTTATAATACTATATTATGTTATATTACTCTTAAAAAGTCCAAAATAACCGCTGGTATCATTTCATCGATGATGCCTATGTCTTTGGAAAAACGGTTGAGAGTCCGTCCTGAAAAGCATTATTGTATCTATAGAACATGGTTTATTCACGCGAAATCTGTCATCTTACCGGACGAATTTGTGTTAAAAAAATACATAGCAGCTTTAACAATAGAATTGAACATCTTATTGTGCAAATTCATTGAGGAGCTCATACAAACTGATACAAATACAGTTGGACTGGTTACAACTAATACTATGTAGGATAATATTAATACTGTATAAACCACGATAAAATTTTGACGAACATTTGACCATAATATGAATGCATCGTAATATGAACCACTGGTCAACAACGTAATATTATTGGCAATTATGTTGTTTGGGTTGTGAAAATCAAACTCAACTTCGGTTACCCTAAAAATATATCGTAATCATATTATGTTATATGCTGTTTAAAATAATTGTTAATTAATTTTTATATAGTACCAAATGCTTATCCAATAACTTGCACCAATGTTCAGGAATTGAGCGAAAAAGTACATGAGAATCAATAAAATAACTTTGGAATAACTCCCTCCAGCTGATAAATATGATAAATAAACAGTCTTTGAAATACGTCCAGAAGAACGAATTTCAGGTTTCTCAAAAGGCTTTTCGAGGACACTGTTCACTTTCATTTCATCAACGGACGACGAAATGCTTTCATTAGAACTATACGTACATGTCTCTGCGTCAAGATCTTCTGTGGTTAGATTATTTTTTTCCACATCAGGCTCTATTATTTTGTATTCTGGCAACTGAAGCAATTTCGAAAAGTTAATGCCTGATGCTTGCACTTTTTGGTATGAACCCTCTACAATGATTTTAGCCTTGAATGAATAAAAAATATAAAACTTAGTGGTTAAACATGTTAAAACCTAAGAATGTATTAAAAAGGGTAAAAACTCATTTTTTATTATTACTTTGTTCATTACAATAATTTTATCTACGTTAGCCAAATATTGTATTTGATGAGTTACAAGAATACATGTTGTGATTTTGAGGTAGTCTATTAAATTAAAAATAAAATAATACATTATAACAAGAAAAATGGCAGAAAATTTTAGCTATCACCTTTTATACATTTTTCAAATAAATGTTTCCCAACTACAGTATCTACAGCTGATAAAGGATCATCTAGTAAATATATATCTGCTTTTCTGTATATAGCTCTAGAACAATACATGTTGAATTATGTTATTATGTTTGAATTATAAAAATTATCTTTAATAAATACTTATTCAAATTTCAACTCACCGAGCTAGATTTATTCTCGCTCTTTGTCCACCACTAAGAATTACTCCTTTTTCTCCCACAATCGTTCTATCGCCAAAAGGAAACTGTTCAATATCACTTTTTAATGCACACACTTTTATCACCTATTTCATAACTCTCTCTGGTATATATTATTGAAATATCACACAAAAGTAATAGTTCTAAATGTTTACCTGTTTATATCGTTTTTTGTCCATGGGTGAATTAAACAGAATATTTTGCTGAATAGAACCACGAAATATCCAAGGCTCTTGCGATGCGTAAGAAACTTCACCGCCAATGGATATCCTACCTTCGGTAAGAGGTAGTTCCCGTAAAATTGCTTGAAGTAATGAACTCTGCATTAACGTTTTAACAATATTAAACATACTTGAAACATTTTTGATTAATTTTACATACTTTACCAGATCCAACAGGGCCAACGACAACAACTAATTGACCAGGTTCAACAGTCAGGTTAATGTTGTCCAAAGAGTTGCTTGTTTGAGCACGTGTCCACTTGGCCGTAACGTTCGAAAATAAAATACTATTTCGTTTAGTGTATTTTTCCGAACCAGTATCGTTTGTAGAATTGTTTTCATGAACTGTTAATTCAATTCCATCATTTTTCACAACGTTAATAGATTGAGTATTTTCTGATCTTACGCTATCTTTTTCTTCGAGTAATAAAAAATTCTAAACATAAAAAGTAGCGTTTATCATATGTAAGTCCCCTTTAATGAAAAATAAATTTAATTAGAAATAAATCATCAGTAATTGTTTATTGTTATACCTGTATACGTTTAATGGATACCAACAGTTCTCTTGTATTAACTAAAGTGAGACAAAATAATATCCTCATTGTATCGTCCAATATACTGTAGAACGAAATTATAACAAAAATCTACAAGGAATAATAAATAAAATAACTATTGATCAGTACCCATGTTATTGGAATATTTGTACACATTTTTATGGTAGGTATAGTTTACATTTTTTATAGAGACATCATTTTCCAGTAATACGTATACCACTATAATGATAAACATTTGAATTTTAGTATGAATCAATACGATCGAAGACAAAATAGCTCTCACGTATAACATGGCTCGTATATGTTGAATTTCTTTTCTAAAACGATATCATTATTAAAATTTTTAATTATTTACCAATTTCAATATAAATCTATGTCATACTTTCTAGCGTATTGTATGATCTTCGAGAAAGGTTTTTCCCAGGTATACATTTTAATTAATTGTATACCCGAAATTATTTCATTCATCAAACGTATTCTTTCGTCCGTTTTATTTGCTGTTTTCAATCGAATTTTGGAAATATTTTTCCCCAATATGTCTGAAATAAATCAATAAATGATTAATTTTAATTTTTTTTTTTAATTTCAATTTTTTTAAACGAACTTTGCAATGGAATGAATATTAAAAATGTAGACATTCCAATCAATGACGACATGCCGGTTTCTTGCCACAAGAAGTATAATACAATAATCATTTGCAAAGGACCAATCCACAAATAATGAATGTAAATTATTGATACGTCGAATCGATTGACATCATTTGATAATAAATTTACCACATTACCTACAGAGGTTTCACCAAAAACCGAACGGCTTATACATAGGGCCTGAGTAAAACAAAAACAAATATTTAATAATAAACAAATTCATTATGGAACAATCCTTAAATTATATTGTATTTAATGTAATACTCTATGTTGTACAATATCTAACATTCCATTTTCATTATTTATAATTTAATATTAATTCTTCAATGGGGCAATCCCAAAATACAAAAATGGGTTAGAAGTCAACATTATACTCATAATGCAGTCGAATAACTAATCAGGATTGATAACGTTGCAGTCATATCTAATAATTTCTAAAATATACAATACGATCAAAAAATCGAAATTTTAGACATTATTTATTTGATTAATATTTACCTAGTATTTACACGTTGGGTGTAAAATGTACACTAGTACATTTGTAAATAGTGAAAACTCTAGTGGCAATTATACATGATAATCAAGAGAAGGGAGAGAGACAAAAATATAGTCTAACCTACCCCATCCCATAACATTTTTATACATGTATAATATACATATATAAAAATGGTATGTGGTAGGGGAAATTTGGCTTTATTTTTGCCTCTCTCCTATATATTATATTCAATAAAATTTACATACATATACATGTAAGTATAAATGTATAACAATGTTTATATATTAATAATATTAACACTCTTTAACATTAATGTAATAAAAAAAGATTAATATATTGACTTATAAAATATATCTTATAATAATTATATAAAAATTGCAAATAGGTTTTGTTGCACCAGTGATATATTAAATTTAAAAACCAATCTACAAGGGATGGTGATCCACCTATTGCCCCCCCCCCCTTATAATCGCCACTGGAAAACCTAATCCGCTACAACATTAAATTATTAGCGTTTTTAAAGTATTATCCTCATAATCTTTGTTATAGAATTCTTAAAAACGTGTATCTTATCAAGTATAATGTTCTACTTTACTTTTCTGTACATTAATGAGCAGCAAGCGACTCGCATTTTCATTCCGCAGTGAGAGTATGCTAGTTTATTTGGATGAAATACAAACGTAGAAATTATCATGATTAAAAATAGCCCGCATGCACAAATAAATGCTTTTGTCACGTCAGTTTTATTTGAACTTTCGGAGTTTAAATAGGTTAATATTCCACCGATGAGAAGAGGTCGACTCGTTCTACGAAAGTATAAAAAAGAAAATTATAAAAATAATTTTTAGTATTCTATAATATTCTATTTCTGAATTTTTTTTTTATTATTAAGACGTGTATTTATTAAAATTAATTATAGTTTAACACAAACATATGAATATATGTAAATAAAATCATTGTTAACAAATTAAAATTTTTAAAATATTCACTAACATTTTAATAATAATGTTTATTAAACTATTATACAAATTATAAATCGTATTTTCTTTTGATTTCCTAAAGAAAAAGAATCAATTTTATAAAAAGCGTTCTTTAAAGTAAAGTTACTTTAAAGAACGCTTTTTATTCAATTATAGTATTGAGCAAAATATGTCTTTATTAAATGTAATTCAATATTGGATAATTTATCAATTTTTTATTAGACGATAAATATCATTGATTTTAATCAAACTGTTATTTGAATTTTTTCATCGACAATATTATCTTGAAATTTAACTATATCTTATTTCGAGAAGTTATACTATTTGCATGAAATTACAAACAATTTCTTATTTAAAAATATTCTTATATTATGAATAATATTTTATTCTCACTTTAAAAAAATTTCTTGGAATAACTGTATAAACCCATGTAACATATACTCGGCTCCAAATATTTTGATTAATGCTCTTAACAAACTAGGATTACGATTGTCCTTATACGCGTGGTCCATTTCTAACTTCCATGTTCTAAAATAATAAAAACAAAAATACATTGATTTAAAATAATTTTAACGAAAATATTAATGTTATAGTTGATTTACTTTTCTAATGTATTTCCCAAAATCGAAGAAGAATGATCGTCTAACGTTTTATATAAATCATTTTCTTTTAGATCTCTGTTTTGCCCTGTTTTGAACAGTTTAAATAACCAGCTGTAAAATAAAACGAAGGCAGTTAAAAATCAAATATATATATATATATATATATATATATATATATATATATATATATTTATATATTTATAATTGTGATAATATAATTTATAAGTATAATTTATAATGTACTAAATGTATCGCTCTTTTGTAATTTGTATGTGTGGTATCAAATTATTTGTTAACAATTTTAATTGATAAACTCTCGCTATACAGACTAAAAATTAGATAAATACTAGTTTAAAATTTTCAAACCAGTCCTTAAATTAAAATAGTGTCTTTTGTTAATCTAACTCTAATTCAAATTATTATTCAAATTCATACAATATTTGTTATTCATTACGAATTTTAAATAATAACTTTCGTTAACCAATTACAATTTAGACAACGTAAGAATATTATAATTTCCAACAACTAAATCGATATACATTATTTTTATTTAAGTAGATTAAAATGTATACGAATTTATCTATACTTTTAACTTACCTGAAAGTCAAGATTTCTAATATATTTGCATTGGATTTTGGATGTGAAGGACGTTCTAATTCATTCTCAGTGTCCGTTATTAACCTGTGAAAATTGAAACACGAATTATTTTTAAATAACTGTACGTATCTATAAAAACAAACCTGTCCATTATGAGTGCGTTATATAGTACTAATATTTGTTATAATATTATAGTTCAATAATACTCGAGTTGCTGTACTTGTAACACCTATCCGCATTGAGTGTCGGTTACAATCTAAATAATTAGAGTAAAACAATATTAATTTAATCAATGATAAAACCTACAACAATAAAAAAAAAATATAAAAAACGTTGCTTTTACAGATAATATTTATGTAAGCGATATATATCATATTATTTCTTTTTCTTATTTGTACTTTCCGGAAGTTCGTTATTCACACATTATCTAACTCTTCTAGTAAACCCGGAGCGCGGGGTCAACACGCAGATGTTCCTACATTTTAATTCCATCTATATACCAAAAATCAAACGTAATTTCGTACATTACAGATTCTCGATTGGCATTTCGATTTGTTTTTAACATCGTTAATCATCAATAATAAAACTATTACCTAATAATAATCTCGGAACAAATCATATTATGACTCATGATAAAATTTAACTCGTACGAATGTGCCATATTTTTAAAAGAATATTTGCCCTTTACAAATTATAAGTATATTAGGTAGAGAGATAAATATATATGTTTCATAGTTATTATTATTTTTATCGGAAATTTTATTTAGTTTGAAATGTTTGGACTTTGTTAATATTTAAATTTAAATAATTAAATAAATAATAATTTAAATTTATATTGTTAATATTTTCTCGATAGAGAATTTCTTAGCAGCAATATTCGATTGAGTTTTTGAATTGATGTAAAATTTTAAAATTCTAATTTTAAATTGTTATTTTAAAAAATTAAAATATGTTAAATATTGTAAAAATTATTACAACTGCACTCATTACACTAAATTCATAAAATCAATTATTACTTTTAAAAAAGTTAAAAGGTTAAATTTCGACAAAAAGGAATATTTTCATGTAAATTACAATTATTTTTCTAAATTATTATGTATGAAATTCGCAATTTGTTATTATATAAGTCCCATTTCTATATAAGTAATTTTAACGTGCACTACTAATATATCATTATCTTCAGAATCAAGAACCAGAAACGAAGCGAAAAATATAAACATTCAATTTTTATACTTAAGAGTACTTTTTTCAAATAATGTTTTTCTTGTCTAGGAAGTAGGAAGTCTACATGAGTATTCAGTGTCGTTAATGAATTACTTCCTCTTCAAGCTACTCATTCAATTATTTTCCAATATTACGTACATAACATTTTATATCTTCTAGTCAGGTGGCACTTCTAAGGGTCTTCCTACTCAAATATTTGAACGTTATTTAACCAATGTTATCAAATTTATTATTCACTAGCAATAGATTGTAAATATATTTTCTTTTAATAAAAAAAAAAAAAAAACTGTTGAAAAAAAATAAAAAAAGATTTTATTACTTAATATATTTATTTTTACTTTTTTTATTTTATTTATTTATTACGGGCATAAGTCCAATTACACAATAAAAATATAGTAATTAAGCTTACATAACTAAAGTGACATTTTAAAAATTTAATAAATGTGAAGAATAAAAATAGAGAAACTCTTAAGTCAGATGAAATACAGGGATGGGTATATGACATTGTGCCGTATCAATCTTTTGAACTTAAACCATTGCAACATTACTTTTGAAAAAACAAGTCTAAGTGAGATTTGTCAAATTGGTCATTTTATATTTCTAAATATAGTTGATATAGAATTGTACATTTTTCAATAAGATAAGTTGAACTTTTAATGTTCTAAAACTATAATCGTATAAAACTTGGAAAAATCGAACTTTTCAAGTGCATAAAAACTAAACAAATGTCATTCAAATATTTCATTAAATAATAAAATGTTTTTTATATGCTAATATATAACTAATAGATAAATGTTTCAAATTGTTACGATTAATATTAATAGAATAACAACCTAAAAACTTAATCAATAACAAAAATGTCGATTTTGTCGAATACCAATTTGCCATACATTTTGCCTTTTTTTGTATAATTTTTTACCAATTTTTTGCAAATATTAAGGAATATATAAAATGACCCTTACTAACAAAATACTAACAAAATTACATTCTCTGACAAAAATCTCCTATGAATGTGAGGATTGGAGCAATTATTTTGGTCTAAATCGTGTACACTGACACAATAAAAATCACACTAAATATAAAATTAATACATTTCTCGTTTCATTCAGAATCTATAACAATAGTTCATAAGTTTTCTGTTAAATAAAATATTTAATTTTTTTCTTATTTTAAATAGTGTAGTATATTTTTGTTTTATGAGATTTAAGTTCATGTTAAATTTAAATTGACATTCCTCTAAGTAATTAAATCCTACCACATTCATAAGTTATAGATTTTTACGAGGAATTTATTTTATAATTATTTTATCTGACCTATAATGGAGTTTATAGTAATAGTATATATATATATATATATATATATATATATATATATATAGTATCTATATAGTAATATGTAAAAGATATAGGTGAAATAAATATAATAATTTTCTTTAAAATAATAATTGGAATTTTATACTGCATAATATAAAAAAAAAAGTTAACACTTACCAGAGTACGTTTGTTGTTCAGTATAGCAATTTATACAAAAGAAAAAAAAAGTAAATAAAATATTATTATAATATTTCTAACATTAATTCATGCAACATAATTTCAACTTCGAATAGTCTTGAAAAATAAGCTTACATCGAATCCAAAGTGATTATTGGTCTTATTTAACGAGTACAGTGATTAGTATTAATTAGTATGTAAAGAAATAAGCGACTATTATATACATATATATTTTTTTAATCAGTTGTGAATTATTATAGTACCTATTTTCCTGTTATAACAAATAATTACAAGATTAATTATTAAAAATAAAACTATTGTCGAGAGATGACATTGTGTAATTTTTCATGACTACCACTTTTTAATTAAATCAATTATTTGGTACATCATATCAATAATTTTGAAAATACTAATATTTTAAAATATAAATGTAAACATAAATATCAATTTTTTCGGTCATAATATAGTTTTATTACAACTTCGTTTATTAAAAGTATATTTGTAGGAGATTGATTTTTTTTCAAACACTACAATATATACATAGTTTTGATATATTTATATATTCAAACTCTGATACAATACTCAATAAAGTATACCTACATAATTAGAAAATATACCCAAACAAGCACTTGAAAAAAACAATAATTTTTATATTAAAATTATAAGTATACTATCTACATTATTATTGTTCAAGTTATTGAAGTATAGAAAAAAAGTTCTCAGTTAATTATGTTAACTTAGTAATCATCAAATACGATTGTATTTTATTTATTTATGAATTTAAAACGTTAAAATGTCTACGTATAAGTTATTATCTGAGAATCTATTATAATCTATCAGAGCATTGAACAAAAATTAATTAGTCATATATTTTGACGATAAACAATTACTTATCTGACAAAATATTATAGAGAAAATAAATTTATAAATATTATATATTATATTCATAATATATAGGTACTGATATGTACTTATAATATATATATATATATATATATATGTCAATTGAACATTTATTTATTAAACGATAACCAACCTTCTATTTTTATTAATTTTAGTCATGTCAAAAAGCCATATTCATTTACCTCCAAAAATAAAAGTACGTTTTCCTTTACTCTCCATTTTCATACAAAATTATAATAATAATAATAATAAAAAAACCATTTTAACAGTTTATTTTTTCATTATCAATGTTCCTCCATTATCGAAAATTGAAAAAGTCATATTTCATTATCATAAATTATGAAATAAGTTAATATTTAAGACTCAATTTTTATTTAAAAATAGAGATGTCGGTCGCCAATTAAAATATATATAAAACAACGGTTTATCAATACTGGAGAGGGTTTTGTAAATATAACATTTATAATAATAATGGATATTTAATACTCGTGTGTTATAATAAATATATAAAGACTGATTAAAAAACACTCACGCTAAAGGCCCGTAAGACTGATAATTATTATCTAACATTTAAGATACGATAAAAAGAACATATTAAGCAAGTAAAAAATACGACGAATACTAGTGATAGTAGCAACTAATGGTCAACAGAATAATTGTATAATAATTATCAATCATAATTACACGACAGTGGCAAAGAACAATTACAATAAAATAATAATAGGTTAATTAACTCGAATAGTATGACTAGGGCATATTTTAAGGGTGGTGGGTGGTACCGTGGTGTATTAGTATACAAATAATAAATGAATTAAACCGATTTGATATAAATTATAAAACTGCACATTTCATAACAATTTAAGACGTTAGAGTAACTAAATGTTATCATAAATACAAAAATTAATTAAAAAATTTTGGGAGAGGTGAATTCCTAACCCTTTAAAGTATTACTTGGGTAGGGTGGGTTGTAAGTTCTAAATTGGATGATTATTGACCAGGAGAGCCGTTGGTACGGCTGCATTAGGCCCCACGCCTATACAGGCCCTACGCCTTAGACATCAATTCAAAGTTATTAAAAACAACTAAGAAAAAATATTTATAATTTTGATTTCATTAATTATATCAATAATTATTTTTCTAATAAATATCTTCCTACTTAAGGTACAGTTTCTTATATGCAACTGGCCGCAACAAAAGAACTTTATATTCTTAAAAAATCATATGCATCATTTCTTACCATTTACATAGTTTATAAATTATGTTTACTATTTCTATCACTCATATCTATCATTCCAGTGGGTGCTAAAAGATCGTTTTCCAAATTTAAATTAATAAAATATTACCTCCGCAGTACCATATCTCAAAAATCTCAAGAAGGATTATTTGTTTTATCCGCAATCGTTATTTAAATAGATTTAACTAAAACATTGTCTAATGGCAAAACAATCAATAGATTTTCAGAAAAAGCTAGAAAAAAATAATTTAATTATTTAACTATTTTTTATGTTTCTTAATTGTAAACTTGAATCTTACCAGGATTTGGTTAATAATTTGTATAAATAGTTAAATAAAGATGATTGAATTATTTGTTTATTTTTTTTTTTTTAGAGTTTTTAATTCATTGTGCCCAATCAAATAT